AGATTAATGCTCTTCCAACAATTTAATCTTTCACTAAAGCCAATTTGGCCTCGCAAAGACGATCGAAAACTAGATCTAAAAATTGTAAGTGTTCAACAAAAGAAGCGGACAAAATAATGATGTCATCTAAATAGACCATCATAATAGGCTCCAGTTCAGGATCAAAAACTGTATCTACAATACGTTTCCAAGTTGCTGGTCCATTGGTTAGACGAAATGGCATCCTCCTAAACTAAAAAAGACTCCTACCTGGGACAGTGAATGCCGTCTATTCGCGGGAAGTCTTGCTCAAAGGTACTTGCCAAAAGGCAAATTCAATATCTATGGATCTAATAAATCAAGCATTTCGTAATCTATCCAAAATAGTTGAAATGTACGGAATAAGCCACGCATCTTTCTTAGTGAGGACATTTAAATCTAAGGGATCCATCCTGTTTACGGGCAAGACAAACAGACCAAGGGCTATTCGATCTCTCAATGACATCCAATTTAAGCATTTCTTCAACTTCATCATCAACAAATTTATGTTTAACGGGAGACACCGGATAATAACGTTGCTTAATGGGTTTCGTTACTGGGTCTAAAATCATCTCGTGTTCTACTACCCTACAACTACCGAGGCATGTTCCTATCTGCTAAAGTTTTCCACTAACCAAGTTGTCCAACTGAGTTTTCTCAGAAGATGTTAAGCGTATTTGTGCAAGATCGTTAGATTCAGAAGAATGTCAAACATCCTGCTTAAGATCATGGACGATTTCCATAATCTTCCAGAAATCTATACCTAAGATTATCTTATGCAATCGCTCAAGGAGCACAACCGCATCGATAATATGCGTCCGGCTCATTAAGGTTATACTATGACACTCTTGACCAAACTTAAGATCCAAGCGTAAAGGTATTTCATAACATATTAGTCCAATCACTGTACGACTAGCACTAGAATCAAGTAAACCCAACAAGGAATAACCCATTATATCAAGGTAATGACATTGATCTCCATGGGCATGTGAAACAACATGATCGAGAAGAACCTCGTTTTTAAAATCAAGGGTGTTGGCCGTTAAAGGTAGTGAGTGGGAGGAAATAGCACGACCTAACGATTCCTCCGGGACTCGTTTCCCGAGCTACTACAACTGGCACAAGTCCAAATGGTTACACTTGGCTCACCAAAACGATGACAGTGAGTTTTCCTCGGGCTAAGATAATTGCATTTATTATGTCCTACTTTTTGGCAATTCCAACAAGTGGGACTTTCCGTTTCTACGAATGCAAAGTCGGACTCAACAAAGTGTTGATGCTTTCGAGATGCAGGTATATAATTCTCAACTCTACATTTCCTAACCTGAAGCTCAAGACATTCGACCTCAAGTTCTTCCGAAGTACGAACAACTGGGAGCTGGCTAGTAGAAAATGGTGACAAATTCCTGCATAAGATATCTATCTGAAGCTCTTCCGTTTGATCACCATAACGCCTAAATAATGCTTGCATACATAATCAACAATTCTCTCCTATGCATCTTGTGTTCTCTCTAAGGATCTTTTTGAAAAGTCTAGCATGATAATCAGGAGGTTCAAAATGACGTGTTAGCCTATCACCTGAGCTTTGCCAATCAACCACTCTATTTTGGTTTGCCCTAAACCAGTTTAACGCTTCCCCAGTGAAAAGGTTTACGTTACGAGCCGACCGTAGTTCACTAAGCCCTTTCTAAAAAGTTATGGACAGCAAGTGGTTTTACGTGGCCGGAAAATCTTGAGTTCCATTTCTCTATGCTTTGAGGCTTCGGTTGAACAGTTTGGACAATGGGATACCTGGATAACAAAATCTGTACGGTTGAATTGTGGATAGAGTTTTCTAGCAAGCCATATTTTCAAAAAAATAAAAAAAAGGTATTTAATTGAGGATCTTGTCTAGACCCCATCTCTAAAGTATCTAATACTGCCAAAGCTTACATTAAGAATTCAGACCTTTGATTTCGTCTTCTACGCTGAGAATAAAATCAGGGGTTCCATTAGCACCATTTAGGAGGTGGACCAAACTAGATTGAGTGGTAAGAAGTTTATTGTTGGGAACCTGAAAGTGTCTTATAGCCATCAATGTGCCGGTTGGCTCTTGTTCGGGACTTCGTTTGTCAAATAATGGGCAAAATCCGCAAAAAGTAGGAAGTCCACAACGAGTGTCGACACACATTGTAGTATAAAATGGCTAGAAGACCTCGAATTTTTAAGGTGACATCTAGCCACAACCACGCGGCCGGTTATAGCCACTTGCTGTGATACTTTAAGCCTAGTGGATCTACAAAGAGAAAAAGATCATGCGAAGAAAGGTATATAACAAAAATAGGAAAACAATGGGCAAATTCAAGGTAAACTGGTTTCGAGCAGAAAATAGGATAGATAGTCCAAGCGACACGTATTTCTGATTGGTGGCTTCATCAGGCCCGAAATGAATGCACATATGCAACTACAAAAGTAAGTACAAATGCCCGAATATTTGCATTCATTTCGGGCCTGATGAAGCCAACCAGCAGAAATAGGTATTGTAACAAGAACGAATAGTACTGTTGGCGCCATCTGTTGGAGACCGAGCCAGACTCTCCTACTCGCCAGAGCTTCATGGCCGATCCCTATTGGGGACCGTGACAGAGATTCTCCTTCGGTAGTGACACCTGTCGAGGACCGTACCAGTGACTCGCCTTCTAGATCGACGCGAATTGACCTCGAAGGTTCTACTCGTAGACTGCCGGTGTGTGGCTTACCGGAGTTTCCTCGAATCACCTGTGAAGCGAACTATATAGGGCCGGGAGATGGAAGCAGGGTAGAGAAGAACAGAGTACAGTTCAGTGAATGGAGCGACATAGTAATTCGTAAGTAAATAGTCAGATTTAAATAGTAGTGTACATAAATGGTCTATCTAGTCAAGTTGAATAAATTAGTGCATTTCTTTTTGTGGAATCGAATGTTTTAATCCACACCCAAAAAGAACCCAGAAAAACGTTACATTGGTGTCAGGTGTGAAGTGTGGATTATTGGACATTTAGTGAAAATAAATCGGACGATCAGTGAAGGAAGAATGGCGCGATTTGAAAATTGCCGATTTAAAGAGAGAGCTGGAGGAAAGCGAGTGCGACATGGCTAAAAAGAAAGCAGAATTCCAGGAGCGGCTTCGTCAAGCACTGATTGAGGAAGTCGAGGACCCGGATATTTTCGTTTTTACCGGTGTAGAGGATATTGGTTTCATGCTGCAAAACCTATCGAGCAAGTTAGAAAACATGCTCGTGCAACATTGTGCCGATCTTTTAGAAAACTCGACCAAGTTAGAAAACAAGCTCGTGGAAAATTGTGCCGATCATTTAGAAAACTCAGCCAAGTTACAAAAAAGGCTCGTGGAAGATTGTGCCAGCCTAGAAGGAAGGCTCGTGGATAGTTGTGACAACCTAGAAGGAAAGCTCGTGGAGAATTTTGCCAATCTAGAAGCTAAACTTTTGGAAAGTACAGCTAAATTAGAAGAGAAGTTTTTGGAAAATACTGCCAATTTAAGGAAGAATTGGAAGCTAAAATCATGGAAAAATCTTGCGAGCTGGGAAAACGGATTTTAGAACAGACAGAATTCAAGAAGTGCAAGGCAAGTTTGCCGCTTTAGACGCCAAGACCATCGTCGAACGACAGCATGGACTTCCGTTAGAAAACTCAAGTGAGGTTGGAGCTTCTGTTGGGTCAGCTGGTCATCTGCAAATAAAACCGCCGCAAATTGATGGTACAATGCCTTGGAATGTATACCGACGTCAGTTTTGAGGCAGCCGCGAATGCAAATGGTTGCTAATCGACCGAATAGGCAACTGCACTCACTTTGGCCCTGCGAGGAGATGCTGCAGCTGTTCTTCAAAGAGGTCTACGAAGCTAATAGGGCATTTGGCGATATGGCCAGTCACATTTAGAACATGTCTACCATACTTAATTGAAGAATCGGTTCCAGAAGTCAGGCGAGTCCTTGCCGGAGTTCGAAGAGCATATTGCGCGGTTGGCACGACTAGCATATCCCGATGTTCAGGAAAGGATAATGGTGCGATTGGCAGTTCAAGCATTCGTGGATAGACTTTGTGATGGTGGAACGAAGAAAGCCTTACTACCAGTACATCCACCTAAGCTAGTACTCGGGCCTTAGAATTTGAAGCCGCTAAAAACACAAACAAAAGCCAGATCTGAGTCCGCCAGATGGCTCCAGGAGATAACGAGTTCGAAGAATCCGTCAAGCGCATTTTTAAGGAGCTTGACGGTGAACGTCGTCGCCAGAAGAGCAAGGTGGAATGTTGGAAATATGGAAAAGTAGAGCACGTTAGGAGCCGCTCTCCTGAAGGTGCTAGTCCTCATCCGGCCAATCCGGAAAACTAAGGAGGCCGATGTGATGAGGCTGTCGTAGCTGTAGCCAACGAGCCCCATCAGTTAATAACGTCCAAGACTCCTGTGTGTGTGTGTGTGTGTGTGCGTGCGTGCGTGCGTGCGTGCGTGCGTGCGTGCGTGCGTGCGTGCGTGCGTGCGTGCGTGTGTGTGTGTGTGTGTGTGTGCGCGCGTGCGTGACTGCGTGCGTGCGTGCGTGTGTGTGTGTGTGTGCGTGTCTGCGTGCGTGCGTGCGGGTGTGCGTGTGCGTGTGCGTGTGCGTGTGCGTGTGCGTGTGCGGGTGGGTGTGTGCGTGTGCGTGTGCGTGTGCGGGTGCGTGTGCGTGTGTGTGTGTGTCTGTGTGACAAGCCCCATGACAAGTGTGTGGGGATCGCTCATGGGGGGCACAGATCTTATAAGTGCATGCGTGCGTGCGTGCGTGCTAGCGTGCGTGCGTGATTGCGTGCATGCGTGCGTGCATGTGTGTGAGTGCGTGCGTGCGTGCATGTGTGTGCGTGCTCGAGTGCTTGCGTGCCTGCGTGCGTGCGTGCGTGCGTGTGTGCGCGTGTGTGTGAAAATAAACATTTTTTTTAACATTTATTGTTCGAAAAGTTTATACAGAGTTTCTATCCTACTTTATCAATATTGAAATATAAACATTCTCTGAGACAATACGCTTCAATAGAATTTGATGTTATGTCATAAAAAGACTTTAGTACGTCTATAGGAGATACAATATGCTTACTGTTTTTAAGTAAGACGCATATAGTATCTAGAACATTATTATAATAGTGTAAACAATTGATAGGACTTAATATTTCAATTCTAAAACTAATAGTCGAGTCAATTCTCACTAATTCTTGCATTTCTTGTTGTGTAAAGTAAAAAGTATCATGACCATTGGACAGTGTAACAAACTTGATTCCATCACATACAAGTCCAGAGATTTCAATATTTTCGTCACAGGTAAGTTTAACGTTTGATGCCACTGATGCTGCTGCTGCTGCCTCCAACGTTTCAAACCTAAACCATTTTAAGTGATTCACGAACATCGGCCGTTCAAATGTGCTCAATGATATTTGAACATTTCCAGTATTGTCAGGTTTGTACTCAATTTTCACGGCGAGTTCAAAGTTTCTTGCAGAACTCAGACCACAGTGGACTTGATATAGTTGTCCACATTTCAGTGTCGCATTACAAATGTAGTAACGTTCCATCTGGATTGCATTTTCGTACATTCTTAACTTACGGTCTAATTCAGCACCATAAACTGATTCTTCTTTCTTTTCTTCTTCTTCTTCGTATGGACGTGGCTCAGACATGATGCACTTATCTCAAACGTCTTCACTCAACTATATACATTTTTCCAATTGTATTCTATTATGGACCCGTGGTGACGATGGTGGTGATGGTGGGGATGTTGGTGATGGTGGGGGAATATTATAATCAATTTTTTGAATCAATCCATCCAAATTTGTTCATTCCAAGCCATTTGACGTATACCTTACTTCCCTTTCTTTTTAAAACTTTCTCAACCAAATATACGTCTGGGTTTTTGCTTTTTGTAATTCTTGGGTATAGAAACAACCCATAATTGGATTGTCATCCAAATTATTCAATAAATATGTAACTGGATTGGTTATTTGTACTTTTGCAACCTTAAATAGCTCAGTTGTCCAGTTAGGTGTGTATCCTTTTTCAAATACATGTTTAGCTTTACTTATTCTCACGAAATCACCAACTTTAAGTTTACGCAGGTCGGTAGCTATTTTTATATGGTCAAAAGCTGAAATTTTTGTATTCTTTTCAACATCGACTGGCTTCATCCTAATAGTATGATGTTTTTGGTTGTTATAAGCCTGAACGATATCTGGTAAAATGTCTATACATCTATAAGTACCATTTAAGCTGAAATATTTAAATAACTTTTCTTTCAATGTTCTCACTACACGCTCAGCCATAGCAGCTTTGATATGAGTAAATGTACTATAGTGATTTATATTATAACTTTTCATCAAATGCTTAAAATGTACCTTATAGTATTATTTCCCCTGATCTGATGTAAGTTTTTCGGCGGCGGAGTATATCAGCAAAGTTGGATTTTCCTCAAAAAACACCTGAGACCCAAAAAGATGCATAAATGGCTTTTCAGATGTGGCAAAATGTTTCAAACTTTACATTTACAATGGTTATCAACCCCACTCAACATCCTAATATTACTATAACTCTGGGTAGCAAGTATCATTATTTTAGGACAAACTGTATGGGTAATGATGGATGTCCGATTGGATTAGATGGAGCTGGTGGTGTTTTAGGACATGCAAGTTATATCCATCATCACCCTGTATTTTATATAATATTATAATTGTTACCTGGTACTTGTATTTCTTGCTAGCATTGTCGCTACGCTATGGAATCTTATCTCGCGCCTTGAAGTTCACATGCTAACATCCTCTGTATCAGCATATTATATTTCTACTGCATTGTACTAAAGCCATGTGTGAGGGAATCTTGTGACTTCTTGTCTAACCGTCCTGTTTTACGCATCGTCGTAACAAGGTTTCACAAAAGTCCCTTTGTACCGTTAATCAAAATAAAGTTTTTTTAAAAAACAAGTATTTCGGTGGCAGTAATTTAACTGGGGGCTCAACCGAGGTCCCTCAGCGTGTCGCGAAACGTGAAACGTGCACCTTCGGCGTCTGAATTCGAGGCAATCGAGCAGAGTATCGGCCAGCCGAAATCACCAGTCATAGACACGCGAACTTTCAAGTTCTTAGAGGGATCCACAGCCAGCAACAACAGAGTGAAGGTACTAAGGACCAGCAGCATAGGGCGTCGGCCCTAAGTTCCAGAACTCCCGAAAACCTTGACAATAGAAGCGGTTCAGCTAGGAGGGCGTGCTGCATCTTTAGCGGTACAACCAGTCTATCGTAGAAACTAGTGAAGCCGAAGAAAGAAGAAAAGGTAGAAGGCGAACGTTTTTTCAACGTTTCCCATGAATCTTTGGTGTGTGGTCGTGTTACTGTAAGTTTTTGAACATTTTTGCTGTTAATCATTGTTTTTTGCATAAACATTTCCTAGTGGTGATATTTCATCAAACATCTCTGGAATAATTATATTTGTCTCGCGAACATTGTAAATATTTTTGATTTCTTAGATCTTGTAAATTTCTGTGATACTGGTTATTGAGGTTTTGGTACATCCTGAGATTTTTATGCCTCCTTATCATTTCGATAGTGAATCAGATCGTTCTGACTCTGATAGGCACCGAAACCGTTCACGTGAATTAACAATCATGACTTCAGAAATTACAAGTCTAGAGTTGTCTCTTGCGAAAGATATTGTTCCTGATTATTTTGGCGGTAGTAAAGATCTTTTGGATTTTGTCACGAAGGCAGACCAATTTATGGAATTGCTGAAAAAGCCGGATCCAAATTGTGTGTTCAATGAATTGCTTTTTCATAATATTATCGCAAAAATCAAAGGCGATGCTAGAGATTTATTGAGGAACAGTTCCTAGGTTACTTTTAAGGATGTCAAAGATATTCTTGTTAATAGATTCGGTGATAAAAGAAATAAATCTTGTTTAGCTTACGAACTTTCTCGTATGCATCAGAATAACAAAGAATCTTATCAACAGTATTACGATCGAATAAACGAACAATTGCAAAATATGTTGCAACGGGCAAAATTAAATTCGCCACCTGAACTATTTCAGATAAAATCAGAAATGTACCGTGATCAGGCTTTAAAACGCTTCATTTTTGGTTTGAAGGATCAATATGGTAATACTTTTGTGCACTCACATGTGAATAGTTTGCCAGACGCTTTGCGTAAAATTCAAGAAATGGAAAACTTTTGGTATGAGCGTTCTATGACCAATTTCATGAGAGATAAAGACGAACCCCAACGCAAAAATAGTCACTTTCCCAAACCAGTACCAAATCAGAGGGGAAATAATTTCAATAATAGCTTCCAAAATCGGTTTAGGCCACAATTCCAATTGTCATCAGCCAGAGTTGGTCCACCCAGACCAAACAATTTAACTCCTCGGCCGCAACTAAGTCAGCCACAGTTAATGCCAAATCGTTTTCCAAATTCAAATCAACACATTTCTAGGAATACCCAACCTAATAGGCCAACACCCATGTCCGTCGATGGTAGTAATTATCGCCCAAATAATTCTATAAGACAGCCGTATCGCCCCAACTTTTTTCAACAAACAAGCCATCCAAATGTGATTGTGGAAGAGCTCCGTAATCAGGAGACTGAAGGCTCTGAATTTCCTGATCAATACGATAACTATTTTTCTGCAGCCCCGTACGTTGATCAGCAAGACTTTGATTACTTGTAAAGTGAGGTAGCTACTTTTGAAAATGATAGTGCCCAGGTTGGAAATTTTCCAATACCAGCCTCGAGACCGAACCAGTCGACTTAAATGACATTTACAAGCTTTCGAAGCCCCCCTATATAGTTCTCCCGAAGTTAGGCCTTAGAATATTGGTGGACACGGGAGCTACGTCAAACATTATGAACTCCGACATTGCAGATACCTATTTTTCTGAATTTCAATTTGAACAAAATTTTTAAGTAGAATCGCTAAATAAGATTTCTCATGGTTCAAAAAATGTTCTATACCCAATCCTGAATCAATTTGGCATCAATAAAGTCCTAAGTTTCAAGGTAGTCGATTGGCACGACAAGTTTGATCTGTTGCTAGGGACAGATGATCTTCAGAAATTAGGTGCAAAAATTGACTATACCAATCGAGCTGTTCAGTTAAAAAATAGATGTATTCCATTCGTTATCGAAAGGACTACGCCAATCAAACCGACTCGCCTTGAATATGTCAATCATATTACTATACCAGTCAAAATTGGAAATGGCCCCATCGTTGTTCCGGAATTTGAAATAAATGGAATCATATTTCCTGATTGCATATCTACGGCTCGCGATTTCCAGGTCACCATACCTATTCCTGTAGAACACTCTACCCCGGAAGAGATATGTTGCATAGAACCCATGGGTGTAGATTATTTGCTTGAAAACAACTTTAAAAAACCTAATCTCCAAGAAAATGATTTCAATATAACTCAATTAATACGTACCGATCATCTCTCACCGGATGAAAAGCAAAAGATCCTCGAACTTTGCCAAAAATATAAAACAATATTTCACTTCGAGGGTACAGACTTGACCTGTACTCATCACGTTGGGTACCCCCCTGTTCTCCAGGAAGAAATTAATATGCAAGTACAAAAGTTGATCGATAACAAAATTGTGAGGCCAAGTAGTAGTCCTTACTCCTCTCAGGTATGGATCGTCCCGAAGCGCTTAGACGCATCCGGTTAGCTTAAATTTCGACTTGTTATCGATTATAGGAAATTAAATTTCAAAACCATAGAGGACAAATAAATGCCCATTACCCAGAATTGACGAAATTCTGGACAACCTTGGCAAATGCTCATTTTTTTCGACAATCGACCTCTCTCAAGGATTTCATCAAATTGAGATGGATCCTGAATCTATTGAGGAAACAGCCTTTACGGTAAATAATCAGCACCTCGAATATGTCCGGATGCCTTTTGGCTTGCGAAATGGTCTGGTGACATTTCAGCGCTTAATGGATCACGTTCTTCGTGACCAGTTGTACGAAAGTTGTATTGTCTACATGGACGATATTTTGGTATATTCCAAAACATTAGAACAGCACATTCAACACTTAGAATTCGTATTTAAAAAATTGAAAACCTATAATCTAAAGGTACAGCTAGATAAAACGGAATTACTCCGCAAAGAGGTACCGTTCTTAGGTCACGTTATCACCGAACAAGGTATAAAACCCAATCCAGACAAAATAAAAGCAATCGTGGAATTTCCTATTCCAAAGGGCATTTGAAAAATTAAAAGACTTAGTCACAAACTCGCCAGTTTTAATTTGCTCTGATTTTTCGCAACCTTTCAAACTGACGACCGATAGTAGTAGCGTAGTTATTGGTTCTGTCCTTTCCCAGAAGGACCGCCCCGTGGCATTTTATTCTCGTATGTTAAATAATGCCTTAAGGAACTATAGCGCAACGGAGAGGGAATTGCTTGCAATCGTAAATTCTGTAAAACATTTTCGCCCTTATCTGTATAGAAAAAAAATTGTAATTGAAACAGATTGCAAACCGCTGACTTGGCTCTTTAATCTGAAAGACCCGATTCCAGGCTAGCACGCAGGAAGGTCCACCTCGGAGAATATGACTATGATATACTTTATAAAAAGGGTAAAGAAAATTGCGTCGCTGATGCCTTATCAAGAGCAGAACTTAACGCCGTGGATGACCAATTACCCTGTACATCTAAGGAAAATCCTGAATACCTTCAGATTCCTTTAGTAAGAGCATGTCTTGAGAATAAGCGTGAAGCTAACCAAACTTCTATACAAGGGAAAGTAGAACACTGATCAGTCATCTTCATTCAATCCTTCTAGATCGGGAACGATGAACAATAATAATTACGAGCACCCTATTAATTTACTTCCTTTTTCAGAAAACCCACTGATTTATTTTAAATGTCAATTTGAGTTCAAAATTTTGGATAATTATAAAGTTACCAGAAAGAAGATTTTCAAAAATAAATACAGATTATATGTGACGCTTTCGCCCGATATTTTACATTACCAGATATCACAAACACTTATCGAGTATGTCGATCCAAAAAATTCATATGGTATCTTCTGTCATAATGAACCCTTGAAACCGATTATCACACAATTGGTACGCTCCCTGTTTGATCCCGAAGTTCATCTATTTTTTACAAATAAACTATTTTTAGATATCACCGATGAAGGGGAACAAACAAGATTAGTCCAAGAATATCACTCAAAGTATCATAACGGAATTCAAGAAACACTAAAGACGTTTCAACGAACAAAGGTACTATTGGCCCATCATGAAAAATTCTATAAACGCATTAATCAATTCCTGCGAGACCTGCAATTTAGCTAAATAACCGTTCGAAATTATTCACGTTGATACTTTCAAAATTGATAGCAACAATTTTTTCACTATTTTGGATTTATTTTCTAAATATGGGCAGGCCTATCATATTACTGATCAGAATTCAATAACTTAGCTTGAAAAACTACGTAATTTTATCAGCCATCATGGAATTCCTGTAAAAATAACATGTGATAACGGAGCCGGATTCACAGCCAGAACTTTCAAAGAATTCTGCGAGTTAGATAAAATCAAAGTCAATTTTACCACTCCTGAGAATCCTTCATCTAATTCTCCCGTTGAGAGGTTCTACAGTACCCTTAAAGAAAAATTAAATGCTTTAAGGCTTCAAAACCCGAAAACAGATATAAAGGAGCTCATGGTGACCGTGATTTTGAATTATAATTAAAGTGTCCAAAGTTCAAAGAATTTTTCTCCCCACTCACTCATCTATACTCCTTCCAACAGAACAAATGTAACAAATATCGAATTAAGTAAGGACGTATATGAACAATACAACCAAAAGCGTGTTGACGAGCTCAAACTATTATATCAGTCGGTAAGCGATAAATGTAAGGAAAAAGCTGAAAAGGTTCTCCGAAAGAAGAACGAAAATCGCACTGAACGACCGGAAACTCCAAAAGAGACTACGGGTTTTGTCAAGTCCAGACAGTGGACTACGAAAATCAACCCCAGACAGGTGAAATCCAAAGTTAGAAATCAGAAAGGCAATACCTTGCGGTTGCAGACTCTAAGCAAAAAACCAGCTCGCACTAGAAGGAATTTGCGTCAGATTAAAAGAGTAAAGAAGGGCTTTTCTTCACAGAGCACCCTATGGCCGCAGAGTCTTCCGCTGAGGGTTCATCAAGTCCCAACCAATAAGGGTTTCTACCCGGAGCCGTTGGGGGACGCAAAATTAATAAGCCATTATCATACGTTTATTTTTAGCCATAATTTCAGCTTAATAGCTGATGTTATTAGACAGATAGAAGTTAGTTATAGTATTGTAGTAAACTGCTCTAATGAGATCAACTTCAAACCGGTACTAGAGGACCTATTCAAAAATTTTAATAATGTAAAAATGGAATATTTAAAATTATCACCTTATCATTCACACAGTAGAAGGCGTCGGGCAATTATTAACAAATTTGGCAGCATAATTAGGTATGTGACAGGAAATTTAGATCAAGATGACAACGATAAATTTCAATCATTAAAAGACAAGGAAAACGAACTTATAATAGCCATCAATAATCAAAAATCATTCGCACAGCTCATTTCACAAAAATTTGAGAACGATATGAAAGTCATTCAGAACAATGTACAATTGCTATCAGAAACTGTCAAGAAGTCAATTTATGATTAGGAATATGAAAGTTCGATTTTTAGACTAATTATTCCTTTATAAGAAATTTTAGATTATCTCAGACTGATCCAAGGCACAGGATCCTTATCACAGAAACAGATGACAAATGCAGCTAGTTTTAGAACTGACCCATATTGAAAATTTCTATTTATTTGAAGAAAAATTTGGTTT